CTAGGTTGTTTAGAAGGCACAAATAGCCAAAGTAACCCATTATGTATTATTTTGATATTTTAATGATGCATAATTTCTCAACACATTTGTTTTTTTCTTTTTTTTCCTCCTTGAGAACGGGGTAACGGAGTCTTACTCTGTCACCAAAGCTGAAGTGCAGTAGCACAGTCAACAGCTTGCTGCAGCCTGGAAATCCTGGGCTCAAGCAGTCCTCCTGCCTCAGCCTTTCCAGGTATCTAGGACTACAGGTGCATGCCACACATCTGGCTATTTTTTATTTGTAGAGATAGTTCTGTGTTGCCCTGGCTGGTCTCAGACTCCTAACCTCAAGCAATCCTCCCACCTTGGCCTCCCAAAGTCCTGGATTACAGACATGTGCCACCATGCCTGGCCGTTTGCTTACTTTTAAAATTAATTGGAAAAATTTTACTTAGCACATTTTGATTGTCTTTTTGTTCTTGTTCCTTTTCCTTGCCCTTTGCCCAATTTTGCTATTACCACATTCCTGATTCACCTCTGCTACTGTGGCTTACTGCCCTGTCTAGGCATTAAGTCCTAATAGCTGTATTTTACTAATTTTGCATTTATTTGACTGCCAAAAGAAAATATACTCATTTTTATATTGTGCTGCAGAAATATACAGCTTTATAATGTTTATTATACATGATCCAAAGCTTTACGGTAGTCTTCTAATGTCTACTTCCAACTTCTAGCCTTTTTTTTTTTTTTTTTTTTTTACCTTGTTTGGCTGTTCCAGTGTTCTTTCCATTGCTTATAACCTCTCTATCTTTCCTGTATTATTCCTTCACCTTTGTCATTCTGAGTCCGTTGCTGCTTTTAAAACCAGAACTCTTCCTTGACACATATATGGACACACGTTGGCAAGTTTTTCCATAGTAACCTTACTTAAGACTACCCAACCTTATTTTGCATTTCCTCAGCAATATTTCATACCACGTTGTTTTCCTTATTAATATGTTAATTTGAAAGTTCTTAAATGATCTGAATGGACCTATAGTCCCAACTACTTGGGAGGCTGAGATAGGAGGATCCCTTGAGCCCAGGAGTTCGAGTCTAGCTGAGGCAACATTGTAAGACCTTATCTCTAAAATAAAGAAATAAAATTTTTAAATGTTTTCATTTACAGATTCTTTACTAGACCTTTTGTGAGGTTCTTTCACTTCTTGTTCTGCATACTTAGTAAATGTTTGTTGCTGTCTAATCATAGTTATTAGCCACACATTTGAAAGGGTCAAGAATGAGTAAAAATATATAGTAGAGTAGGTGTATGGTAGTTCACTTTCTCTTGTACATACTCGTTTTCTTCTCATGTTTGCTGCCATTTACCTGCACATGATTTGATCTGTCTTATCTGTTGTTCCTGCTATCCAGCTTCATTTGAACCAAAGAGAAATACTGTTTTTCCTACTTGTCCCTTTGAACACATGACAGGTTGCTCTAAGGAACTATTGCTACCACTTCTGGTTTTGTCCACATTTCCGTCATAAAATAAATTCACAAAAGAAGATTGACACAAAATTTCAGTAGAGATTGTATTCATGAGGGGACTTAGAGGTAACTAACCACTATGGAGTTTGATACTTTCTCAGATTTTTGGAAGGTAAATAGGGCAACAATTCTTATGAAACATCCCCAGAGAAAGGCAAATGATTGGAAGCCTCTCTTTGGTAATGCCACTAACTTACGAACTATGTTTAGGACAAGTTAGTAAGCTGTGTGTGAATCCAAATACAGAGGTAGACAGATAAAAATTTCTGTTATTTTGTTTTTGACCATATTCAGGTTTCTAACTACCCCAAGCTTAATCATTATCTGCAGCTGTAAGTATGATACCTACCTAATTTGCAGGGTTATTATGATATTTGGTTTAATAATACACATCAAGATGCCTAGAGTGCTGCTTAGCATGAAGCCAGTGTTTCCTTTAAAAGTATAGAAAAATCAGTTATAAAAATGGGAAGTTGTTGAATTTATTTGCTTACATTAAGTTTAGGAGTTCTGTGTTTTTCATGTGACCTCTCTTCTGCCTACATGCTTGCCGCTCTTCCTCAAAAAAAGAACAGAATTTCAGAGGAGACATTTTATACTCAAATGAGATGTATATAATTTTGAAGAAAACATTTAACAAGCAAATATTATTCCCTTTATTTTATTGTTGATGATTAAATTCATGTAGGTAGAATTTATGGACTTGTATATGAAAAGTCAGTTAAAATTATTTTCTGAATCTCAAGAATTACATTAAAATTTAAAGTTGACTTTTTAAAAAAATGATTTTTATATTTTTAAATACGTATTCTGTCTGCTAATTAAAACAAATGGTTAACATTTGAATTTGAAATCAACTAATAAAATTGTATTAAAATAACAGTGTTTATATATACATAGTTTTCCTAAGATTTCTGTGAATAATTCGTACTTCTTCCACAAGAGGGCCTTCTTAGAAAAGCTTTTTCTTGTTTAATGCCGATGTATTTCTGTACAATTTCTGTGACAAATGAACTTTCACAAAAAGAATTTAGAAAAAATAATACTAACTCTTTCTAGGATATATAACTACAAAGTAATCTTTTTTGAGATATTAGTGGGGGATATTTTTTACATTTCACCCATTTACATCTTATATCACTCTTACATCTTAAACAGATGGAATATTTTCTATTCTCTATTAACTATTAAAGGCTAGACTCTAAGCAGAAATGTGGATAAAGCCTTTTCACTAGTTCAGATATACAGCATTATCTGATATAATTATATATTCTTTCCCACTACCCCCGTAAAAAGCTCAGCAATATAGTTTTAAAAACAAAAAGCAAAACAGGTGCCACGTGAAGATCTAATGTCACAAACACATACATATGTACAGAAAGAATATTTTCTCAGATAAATATTTTATTACACATATGCCACCAAATGGAAAGAAACTATTAAATGAGATTGTGTCCAAAGTCCAGACCTTCATATTATCAACTCATTGATATTTCTTTGCCAAATGTTCTAATATTTTTTAGCAAAGTCCAGAGGAACAAGAATCAGGAATAGAAGAAATTAGGAGTGTTTAGTTTCTATCCAGCTGTTCCTTATTTTGCCTTTGCCTGAGTACAGTGATCCTTACAGAGCAGAGTAGGCATGATTGGGAGTCCTTACCATTTTATTTTATTTCTCTCAAGCAATAGGGACTGAGGAATTTATTCAAGGAAACCATTGTACTAAGTCGTTAAGGCTTAGTTGTATTTTCAGTTTGGTCCAGTATATATCCTTTTACTTTTCTTAATTATTGTCTTGGTTTAGTTTATTTGCTGTCAAACTCGTGTGCATAAAAATAATTTGAGGGCCCCTTTAATTCAACAGGTGTCCAGGCCATTCCAGAGCCCCCACCCTCAAGTGCTTTTTGTGCCAACTAGAGTTTGAGAGTTAGTGAATAGAGCAAACTGTTTTATTTCTTAGAAGTCTGCTAGTACCGTAACCTTGGGCAAGTTTCTTAATGTGTCTGAGCCACATCTACAAATAGAGATAACACTTTTCTTTAAGATTATAATGGGGATTAGGATAATTAACAGGATAATGATTGTAACAGTGCTTGACCTACAGAAGACATTTAGTAGATGAGATACCTTCCCCATTACATGTGAAATGTTTGCAGTCTGGCTCTTGTCTGCCAACTCTGATCTTTTACATCCTTACAAATTCCTCTCCAACCACATTAGATTACGTATTTCTTAAACAAGCAGGTCTTTGAGACGTATATGCCTTAAAAGTCATAATCACCTATCTTTGGAACGTCTTCTGCTGCTGTTTCTTATTTCTTGTCATTTAAGGCTGTTCAGTTGTCACAGCTTCTGTGGCCACTCTGACCTTCCCTGCATACGTACTCTGTCCCTTCTGCTCCCGCTGAGAGGTGCCATGAAAAGAGCATGTGTCCTATAAGCAGACAGGGATCTGAATCATAACAGTCTCTAACTAAATGTGTGGGCTTGAGCAAGTTACTTGATTCCTGTCAGTCTTTTTTTTTTAATGCACTAAATGAGGATAATATTACTATGCAGTGTTTGTGACAAGTAAAGGGAATAATGTGTATGTGAAGCACCTAGCCAAGGGCCTTGCACAAAAGCACTCAGTAAAGAGTACCTGTTTCTGTTAGGCTAATAATCCTGTGTCTTCTTTTCCTTATTCACCTTTCTGTGACCCATGCAGATTATAATACAGGCATTTAATAGTTTCTCAGTAATTGTTTGTTGAAGGAATGAGTAGATCATGAATAAATAATTACATGGATGGCACTTGGAAAACTATGAAACATGATTTAAAGGTTCTGACTATATTTGAGCACTGAGTTTTCTGTTATGAAGCCTATGTACTGTGTATCTCAAATCTCATTATAATATAATTACATGGCCAGGCTTGGTGGCTCATGCCTATAATCCCAGCAGTTTGGGAGGCCAGGGTGGATGGATCACTTGAGACCAGGAGTTCGAGACCAGCCTGACCAACATGGTGAAACTCTGTCTCTACTAAAAACACAAAAATTAGCCGGGCATGGTCATGCACATCTGTAGTCTCGGCTACTCAGGAGGCTGAGGAATGAGAATCACTTGAATTTGGGAGGCGGAGGCTGCAGTTAGCTGAGATCATGTCACTGCATTCCAGCCTGGGTGACAGAGCAAGACTCTGTCTCAAAATAAATAAATAAATAAATATAATCACATACAGCTAGGTTAAACTTTCAGAAAAAGGCAGTAAAATTTCAATTTTATACCTCTTATGGATTAGAGAAATGCCAGGTTATTGATATGCTGATGTATTTTAAAGTTTGGATTTAACCTTTATAATAAAAGTTCTTATTTGAGATATGGTTTCAGATAATTTGGTTATCATAATCAGAATTCAACAATATATTTAATATGTGGTAGTTTAATAAACAGCCCTCTGCCTTAAGAGTAACATTCATATTTTCAAAATAACTTTTTTTTTGGTAATAGCAACATTTCATTGAATTGGATGAAAATAGACAAAGATTATTGCAGAAATGCAAGGAACTTATGAAGAGAGCTAGGCAAGTATGTAACCTGGGTGCAGAGCAGACTCTTCCTCAAGAATACCAGACAGTAAGTATAAAAAGTATATAATGCTACAATTGCCATATTTAACATATTAGCTTATAGGATCTTAGGCATTGTAATAGTCCATGAAAAACACGATGTGTCATAAAAAATAGGGAATTTTTCACATTTTTAAGTGGAACACACACACATACACACACACATATGTATATATAAAATTTTGCTTAACAGATTTTCTCTATTATACTTAAATTTGGCCACCAGTCTTACTGCTTCCTATTAAAGTTAAAACATGGGTATCACCTTGCAAAATTATTGGTACTGTAAAATTATTCTTCCAATACAAATGGGCTTTTCCCCCCAAACTGCTTTTAATGGCTACAATTGGAACATACGGTATATAGTTTTTCATGGAAACATTGTACCAGTAATTGGTATATAAGAAATAATATAGGTAAGCATTGCTCATGGCCAAAAAAAAAGAAAAGAAAAGAAATAATGGGATATTTTAAAAATAAAGCCTAAGTGTCCCTGGAAATCGGGGTGTTTAATTAGGGTTCAGTGAGAACTGAATATTTAGGGCCAACATCGGCCAATAAGGAAAGGAAAAAAGAGGTCTTTTTCCATTATATTTTGTATGCTGGCACATCAGTGAATAAAATTAGGAGATGCTGCCCTTTAGTCACACTCTACCATTAATTACATGTCTCTGTGACAAGTGGGGATGATACTTTGCCTACATACCTGTTCAGAATAATGTCAAAATGAAATTAGAAATGAATTTTAAAGTATCCAGTAGTGGTGTTTTTTAAAATTCTTAATTTCAAATGTTACCTATTTAAATAAGTAATGAAATATCTACTAAAGATATAAACAACTGGAAAAAAATAACGGATTATAATTTTCAAGTCCTCAAATGATTTTATGATATCAGACACAGAAATCACAGAGAATGGATTTGACTGTTTGGATCCATAGTTGGAATACTGTAGATATTTTTAAAACTAATTGAGAAGTTTGTTTCTAAAAACAGACTAGAATATCTTCAGAATACATTGTGTTGTTACAAAATACAAATATAAGTACAATTTGTACTAATTTTCTCTCAAAAAAATAACATGATTCTATTCTTGATAAGTCATACTGTTTTTGAAAGAAGCAAAATTAGAAGATGATTAATATATTCATTAAAATGTATTAATTACCTGTTATATGTCAGGCATTGAACAAGATAGACATACTTCCTTCTCAGCTGAAACTTATATTCTAGTCTGGAAGATTGGGTAGACGAAAACACAAATCAAAAATCAGATAATGTCAGAGAGCAAGAGATGCTTTAAAAAAAAAAAAAAAAAAAACACGGGCCAGGCGTGGTGGCTCACCCCTGTAATCCCAGCACTTTGGGAGGCGGAGGTGGGTGTATCACCTGAGGTCAGGAATTTGAAACCACCCTGACCAACAAGGTGAAACCCTGTCTCTTTAAAAAAATAAAAAGAAAGAAAACGGGGTTGAGGAGATGGAGTAACATGGACGGGAACTTGGTCAGGGAAACCTTTGAAAATACCGTTTTATAACAGTCCTGAATGAAGAGAAAAGAGCAGTCAAGTGAAGATGTGAGTGAGGGAAAACTATTCCAGATGGAGAAAACAGTTCAGAAAAAGCCCCAAGAGAGAAGTATATTTGGGATGTTTCAGAATAAGAATCTTATTGGGGTTAAAAATTACCCAAGCAGAGAAGAAGGCAGAAACCAAGATTACATAGGACTTTTAGACTATACAGGGAATTAAGGTTTTATTCTTTTGGGGATGGACTCCAGTGTAGGATCTTAAACAGAAAAGTGACATTGCTACATTTATGAAAGAGCACTCTAACTTCTGTTCTTCTAGATGGAGGCTAAAGTAGGGATACAAGATAGGAATCAATGAGACCATTTAGAAAGTCATTGCTTTGGACCACGAAAGTGATATATAATGGCATGAATTAGGGTGGTAGCACTGGAATGAGACAAGAAGTTGAGAGATCCTAGATACCTTTTGGTGACACATCCAGCAAGACTTGCTGATGGATTTGACATGAAGGATAAGAGAGAGAACCCCTACATTTTTCACCTGAACAAATTACAATGCCATATACTGGGATGGAGAATATTGAAGGAGAAACAGCTTTGCTTAAAGCGGTAGGGAAGGTGCCGTTTCACCATCTTAAATTTAAGATGCCTATTAGAGTCAAGTGAGGATATCAAGTAAATAAATGTTGGGCACGTGAGCTTAAATCTCAGTAAGTCAGAGATTCAACAAATGAATACCTGAAGTTCTATAGAAGTTGAACTGCTTTCTGAGAGGTTAAAATAAGTTTAAGATATTAGATTAATATGTCAAGCTCTTTTTCAGGGCTTCAGGATTCATTTTGTAGTGTGCAGTATATAGCCTTTGCAGGTTGTGCTGGGCCAAACAATGTACTGTTTGCCTCCCCTCAAAAAAAAAAGTATCTGTTCTAATTTGTCCCCATGGCATGGACTCGGAAAATAGTACTGTGGTGAAGCAACTGTCAAAGTAATTAGATTCTTAGGATGCTTTTTTAGTTCTTCATAAGTACAGTATAAAGTTCTAACTTCTTGCTCTCTTTCAATGCCCCACATATTCTGGACCCATTCTACCAATTCAGCAAGTACCCACCATTCCAAATGGACACAACTCCTCACTCCCCATGGTATGCAGTACTCATTCTTTTTTCCCAACCTCCTACCTTCCCTCTGCCTTGCTCCTCCCTAGCCATTTGCTTTAAGGCTGGGAGATGAATTCTAGGTTTTGAATTCTCTTAACTCTCCTATAGCATGAAATGATACTTCCTTTCTCTAAATTCCTTAGCCTATATGATATGTACTGCTTATTTTAATACTCTACATCAATACATTGCCTTAAGGTGTTATCCAGTACATGCATTGCTTTCTTTAAAGTACAAGCTTTCAGAAGGCAAATGACCCCGTTTATAATTCCTTTGTATCCTTGTGTGCTAGCATGCTGTTGAACAGATAGTAGATACTTATTCAGCAGATTATTCTTTTAACTATTTGAATGGAACTGTTTTCATTATATCTGTAATGATGGGCAATTTTTTTCTTTAGGTTTTCCAGGATCTTCCAAACACTTTGGATGAAATTGATGCTTTATTAATTGAAGAAAGATCAAGAGCTTCCTGCTTCACGGGACTGAATCCTACAGTATGCCTCTCTCTCTATTCCCATTCTGCAGCCAACCACCACCACCACCACCACCACCACCCTCCCCATACACACACATACACACACACAGACTTCCCTCCAGTACTTTCCTCCCACTCTGTACTAGAGCTCTTGGTAATAATAAGCTAGACAGCAGGAACAATGTGCTTTAAATGCCAGATTCTGAATCTATTAGAATTTTAAATAGATTCTTCCTAAGGAACACAATGTTCTGTGCCTTTTCTTTATAAAAAGAATAGTTGGGCTAACCTGAAATATTGTAATGTCTATTTTTTAAAGGATAAAAAACATCACTTTCAGTATGTAATAAGAACATAAATTATTTGTATACAAACAGTATAGCACAATTGGCATTTTCAGTTAATGTTTTAATTGGTAGAAAATTTTATATGGTTTTATCCTTTGGTAGATTTATCTTAAGTTTTTTTTTTCCCCTGCCAGATTGTTCAGGAATATACAAAAAGAGAAAAAGAAATAGAGCAGTTAACTGAGGAACTAAAGGGAAAGAAAGTTGAACTAGATCAATACAGGGAAAACATTTCACAGGTAATTTTTTAGTTTTTAATCTTCTATCATGTGCTTATTAATGACATGAGAATGTAGAATAATGGAAAATGAAATGACATGCTTCTAAGAAAAATGTTTTATCATGAGCAGACTGATACTGATATAAAACCTTTGTAAAATTTTATGTCAGAATATGGTAAAATTGCTTTTAAATTGTGTTTTTATATTGCCTTTATTTGTAGGTAAAAGAAAGGTGGCTTAATCCTTTAAAAGAGCTGGTAGAAAAAATTAATGAAAAATTCAGCAATTTTTTTAGTTCCATGCAGTGTGCTGGTGAAGTTGATCTCCATACAGAAAATGAGGTAAAATTGCATTTGAAATATATTTCTGGCAGGTAATTTTAATCATATACTTAAAGCACATACAAATGATTTATTTGTTTTAGAGTTGTATCTGAGAAAAGTTTTGTTTACCAAAATGTTGAAAGGAAAAGACCACCTGTGGGATTCCATTAGGGTCACTTTTTTTGGGTGATGTTTGGAATTAGTGACTGATAACTTACTCTTTTAATACAGTCTGAGTAATGGTTATTCAGTTGTGTTGAATAAGTATATTGCTTTATAAAGCTACCACAGCTGAAGTTAGAAGACTTGTAAACAGATTAGTTTGAAATATAATATGTATCAGTGGTTTATTTTTGATCAAGAATTTAAGAATTCATGGTTGGGTGTGGTGGCTCATGCCAGTAATCCCCGCACTTTGGGAGGCCAAGGCAGGTGGATAGCTTAAGCTCAGGGGTTTGAGATCAGCCTTGGAAACATGAGAAAACCCCATCTTTATAAAAATACAAAAAGTAGCTGGGTGTGGTGGTATGTACTTATGGTCCCAGCTACTCTGGAGGCTGAGATGGAAGGATGGCTTGAGCCTGAAAGGTAGGGAGGTACCAGTGAGCCAAAATGGTGCCACTGCATTCCAGCCTGAGCAACAAAGCCAGACCTTATCTTGGAAAAAAAAAGAAAAAAAAAAAAAAAAAGAACTTAAGAATTCATGAGAATTAAAATATTGGGAAATTTTCTACTAATTTCTTGAACTATAGGTTTGTGTGTTGCAATTTGGGCTAGAATAAACGTTTCATTGGGACATGCAAAGGCCAGTTGCTGTGGCTCATGCCTAATCCCAGTTTGGGAGGACAAGGCACGAGGATCACTTGAATTCAAGAGTTTGAGACCAGCACGGGCAGCATAGTGAGACACTCTGTCTCACCAAAAAATAAATAAATAAATAAAAAATAAAGTAGCTACTAGAAAATTGAAAATTACCTATGTGGCTTGCATTATATCTTTCTCTTGGTCAGTACTGTCTTAGACCTTAAAGCTCTGTTCAATTAATAGATAAACCTTTAATTATTAAGTTTTTTTCTTTTGAAACTGTGTTACCCAGGCTGCAGTGCAGTGGCACGGTTTTGGCTCACTGTAACCTCCACCTCCTGGGTTCAAACTATTATCCTGCTTCAGACTCCCGAGTAGGTGGCATTACAGATGCCAACCAGCATACCTGGCTAATTTTTGTATTTTTAGTAGAGATGGGCTTTCACCACGTTGACCAGGCTGGTCTCGAACTCCTGACCTCAAATGATCCACACCCCCTCCATTGGCCTCCCAAATTGCTGGGGTTACAGGCATGAGCCACCACTTCTGGCCTAATTAGTAAGTTATGTATCTCATTTTTAAGGTAAATCTGAACCTGACTGACCTAGAAATGCCATCAATGAGAATAGTAAATAAACCTTAGAGCATCCTCAGTTTTGACACAATGTGTTAAACACTAATGTACTCATTACAACAAGTATTTATTGAGCACCTGTTATGTTACTTGCTTTTTGGTGAGTATTGTGTGTATGTATGACTTAAGTTTGCAAAGTATATGTGTAATTCCTACCTTGTGTTTTTCTCCTTAACCAACTGAAGTTGGGGGGATTCTTGGCCCTCTGCAGTTACCGTACACAGCCATTCCTCCAGCAGAAGAGAGCATGACACTCCATTATGTTCTAATTGCTTTCACCTATAGTTTAAAAACCTAGCACTTTGGAATTAGAATAAATAGTGCCTTTCCAGGACAGGGTTCCTCACTCAGAAATTTCTAAAAACTCTTGGGGAAGCCTACTAAAGTTGAATAGAATGGTATGGAGGAGGAAGATGTTAATTGAATCTGAATATTTTCCTTATCTAAATAGATTCTCGGAGACCCTTAAAGCTTTTAGATAGTAACTGTTTGCCTAATATTTAGTGTTGTAAAATATATATATTGTTTTATTTTTAAACTAGTATCACTAAATTTTGAGTTCTTAACTGAGTAAGAGTAAAGTCCATCCATTTTCAAATAGAATGACATTACCAAAGGAAACTCATTTTTCATCAACTTTCTAAATGTTTTATAGGAAGATTATGATAAGTATGGAATTCGAATTAGAGTCAAATTTCGCAGTAGTACTCAACTTCATGAATTAACTCCTCATCATCAAAGTGGAGGTGAAAGAAGTGTTTCTACCATGTTATACTTGATGGCACTACAGGAGCTAAATAGATGTCCATTCAGAGTAGTGGATGAAATCAATCAGGTATGGTGATTATTCTGTTACTTGGATCTTCCTATAGCCTGTAACAGGTATAAATATAATCATTATTATTGTCATTGTTTAGGGAATGGACCCAATCAATGAACGGAGAGTGTTTGAAATGGTTGTAAATACTGCCTGTAAAGAAAATACATCTCAATACTTTTTCATAACACCAAAGGTAGGTAAAAAGTAACCTCAAAGTGGTCACAGGCTGGGCGCAGTGGCTCATGCCTGTAATTCCAGCACTTTGGCAGGCTAAGGTGGGCAGATCACAAGGTCAAGAGATCGAGACCATCCTGGCCAACATGGTGAAACCCCATCTCTTTTAGTAAAAAATACAAAAATTAGGTGGGCATGGTGGCGCGTACCTATAGTCCCAGCTACTTGGGAAGCTGAGGCAGAACAATCACTTGAACCAGTGAGGCAGAGAGGCAGAGGTTGCAGTGAGCCAAGATGGCACCACTGCACTCCAGCCTGGTGACAGAGCAAGTTGTCTTAAAAAAAAAAAAAAAAAAAAAGTGGTCATATACTTAGAAATCCCCTGTGGCTTAATCATACAGTTTTTGGCCTAATATGTACATATTAGCAGGAACACTTCCCAAAAAGGAATTTAAAAGGTAACAGTAATATTTACATTATTAAAGGGCTAAGTTCTAGTGTCCTACTTAATCAGAGGATGAAATGTAGGAGGCATATCATTATGTTCTAGAATTGAGATTTTTCTCATTCCTTTTCTGGAAAAGGCACTCTTTCAGCACTAAAAGATGACTGGGGAATGCAACCCCTAAAACTCTGGCTTTTCATTTTCCCAAAAAAAAAAAAAAAGCCTCTCATGTCATATACTACCCTTCCTCTTTATTTGCCACTACCACTGTGCTGGCCCAGGGGAAGTTTAAGTATCCTAACATCTTCTACTCACAGGTTAAACTTTGATCAAAACAGAATTATCTTTGTAGAGAATTTTCCATAATCTAGAACCATTGCAATGAGAAATTTTCTTCTGTCAAATCTAGTGTTATGGGTAAATTACAAAGTGTATATATTCAAAATGTGTTTTAATGTAATCAGATTTCTTCTTTTTTAATTAAGTACTCATGAAAAATTTTGGCCAGGTACAGTGGGTCACATCTGTAATCCTGGTACTTTGGGAGGCCAAGGCAAGTAGATCACTTGAGCCCAGGAGTTTGAGACCAGCTTGAGACACATGGCAAAACCCCATCTCTATACGCAAAAATTAGCTGGATGTGGCAGCGTGCACCTATAGTCCCAGCTACTCAGGAGGCTGAGACAGGAGGATCACTTGAGACCGGGAGGGGAAGATTTCATTGAGCCAAGATCACATCACTGCACTACAGCCTGGGTGACGGAATGAGAGTTTGTCTTTAAAAAAAAAAAAAAAAAAAAAAAAAAAAAAAAATTTCTTTTGCCCATCCTGCATTCAAATTTTTATTAAATAGTGTCATCTGTTAGTGTCATCTGTCTTATTTTTTCAGCAGATATTCTTGTGGAACAGTCAGATCTGTTAATACCCTACTGCTTGCCAAATACCTTAGCCTATAAACGTCCCTGTTACACATTCTTCAGGATAGTAGGCTGTCAAAAAGTTGCTTGAGAAGTATTTGTCAATAAAAAGTGAAAGTATCTGTCTTAGGAAAATTATGGAGGACATACTCTTTTCCAAGGTCTCCCTGGGAAGTTAAATAATCCCAGTTATCCTGTGAATCTAGAGGACTCAATTGTTCCTTATTTCGATTATTCCTTAGGCCAGGCTGCAGGCATACTAACGTAGGTAAGGATTACAGTCCAGCAAGGTTTATATTGAGGTGTTTAAGGGGTCCATAAGAGTCTTACTGGCTGGGCATAATGGCTCGCACCTGTATTCCCAGCACTTTAGGAGGCTGAGACAGGCAGATCACCTGAGGTCAGGAGTTCAAGACCAGCCTGGCCAATAGGATGAAAACGCCATCTCTACTAAAACTACAAAAATTATCTGGGCCTGGTGGCACATGTCTGTAATCCCAGCTACTGTGGAGGCTGGCTGGGACATGAGAATCTCGAACCTGGGAGGTGGAAGTTGCAGCTAGCCAAGATCGTACCACTGTACTTCATCCTGGGCAACAGAGTGTGAGGAAAAAAAAAGTTTTATTAATATTACAAATAAAATAATAAATTTGACTATATACGTATAAGGTTGGAAAACTTTTTCTCAGTACAGAGCTTATATGACAGTTTGTCTGTTTTAATACTGACAGCTCCTGCAGAATCTTCCTTATTCTGAAAAGATGACAGTATTGTTTGTCTACAATGGCCCTCATATGCTGGAACCAAACAGATGGAATTTAAAGGCTTTCCAAAGACGGCGGCGCCGTATTACATTCACTCAACCTTCTCAATAAAAGTAAAGAGAGGAAACTTGGGAATTTTTCTGTTAAATTCTCTTTATAAGTATGGCTCAACTGAATAAAAGGAGATTAAAACGGAAGCAGTTATTTTTGGAAACCTGCTTTTAAATACAAATAGGTTGATAATGGAAACCATAATGACCTTTCTAAAACATCATCTGGTAGTAAAAGTTAAGTCTTCTTCAGTCTTGGTTGAACTTGAGTCCTTAGCAACTCTGACCATCAGTCATTGAGTTCTCATGTTAAAAGGTACTTAATATTACACATCAAGGGTACAGTAGAAGAGGGTTTAATCAATCACAAGAAGTTTACTTATATGGTATCCCTGAGCTTTAATTGCAGAGTAACTTTAATTACTTTTAGAGCCTAAAGATGACACTAGAGCCTAAGCCCTAGTTTCTCCCAGTGTTATATTTAATTTTTAAAAATTGATAGGAAAATGTCTAATGTATAGTAATAATTTATGACAGATCTATTCATTTCTTCCTGTTAAAAAGATTACCTTATCTCCAGTAGGAAATGGAGTTTTATGGGCCTTTAAAAGAAACTTTTATGAAACTTGATGCTGTAATTGTATTGGTATTTCAAAGGGAAAGAAGCACTGGAGTTCAAAAATGGTAGCAGGACTGCTTTGAAATGCTACAAGGTGGCCACTAGATGATGCAAAATGCAACCAAACGATTGACAGAGAATAAAATCCAGTGACAAGAGTTTTTAAAGAATAACCTTGTAAAGTGTTGGGGCGGGGTTTTTTTTTAAAATTTTATTTAAAGTCAATTGTATTTTACATCTTAAATTTCTAAAAGCATTTTTATAATTATTTTTAGTAAGATTTTTCTTAAAATTTCATATACTGGTTTCTACAATTTATATTTGAAATTTATTAGTGTTATGTAAAGAGTGAGGTATCATTGATTTCTTTAAAATCATAATGTTTTTAGAACTTAAGCCTATAGGGCCTTTCTTACATTGTTGATATACCCATTATCTTAGAAATTCTAGTTTAAACTGTTTTCTTTCAGTGCAAAAGAATTGAATGGGAAAATAATTTATCTCTAAGTTATACTAATTAATAGAGCCAAACAAATTATCTTCTTTTAAAAAATAAATCTTTTAAGAAAATGGACAGTCCAAGGTCATGTCTTTGAACAGTGGATTGGACTGTGCCAGTAATTACAAAATTATTTTTTTGGCTTGCTTGCCTGAATAAATTGAAGAATTGCATTCACTTTGAGTTTTGCACATTGTTAAGTAACTATTTTAATTTATAGTCTTATTAGGTCAAAAAATAATGAACCATACGTTTATGTCCTCTCAGTTAGACATTTTTTCTTTAAAAAGGTGTTGTCTTCTTTATAAAATGTTAAAAGAGCCTTCCCTTAAACTAACTCCAATGCATGAAGTATGAAAATGACTTTTAAATGACTTTTTTTTTCCTTTTTTTTTTTTTGCCACAGAATACAATACCTAGGATAAAATGACATTTTTACTAATTTGAGCAAGTCATGTAAACATTGAATAACTTGGTAACATATTAGTAAATGGATATTACTAAATGTTTTTGTTAATTGTTTTCCACCAAAATATCTTTACTAAAATGTGCTTGGTGTAGTTTATTGTCTCAGTTAGTACCAGTCATCCTATTTCTGCAAAATGAGCATCAATGTGAAAAAGAAGTATGAAGAGTAAGCATGTTTGAAAATCAAATGGTCAATTACATTTCAATTTGCATAGGCCAACAATTATGCCATACTTTGTTTGTAAACATTTAATTTCTCTACTGGACAAAATTAATATTGGTTTTACGTTGAATTTTGAGCTGTGAGGAATACATTATGTAGCACATAGTCTCAGCCACCTAAAACTTTATTTTCTGCAAAACTTGATTTCTAATTACATAAAAATTGTAAAAACTTGATTTGGTAAATACAGTGATATTTAAAACCTTAAGGTGACAGGCATTTTGGATGCCAAATCTTCATTGGTTTGCTTGGGAAGAGTCTCTGTTAAAAGGTTTTTCATACTCAAAGTAAAAGGAAAGATTTCTTGCTGTTTTCTAATTGTCTTTTGGACACATGCTTATTTTCTTTGGGATAATAAACCTTTAGATGTGAAAATGTAATTTTATTCTGCTATTGTATGTGCATTATGTAATTGAAAAACTTTGTGGGAAATCATACTTTGTTGGTAATAAATCGCTATTTTCATATTTTGGTGTATGTTATTTTAAGTGAGAACTATTTTTTATACTCTGAACCTATAAGTGTCATTTTGGTTTTCAGATTTACTAAAAAAACAAGTCTGTTGAGTACCTTCCATTTATAAAATAGTGTTCAGCAGTCTCTTAATGTTCAAAAGGTTAGAAAATTTAGTCCCTTGTCTGCCTGCAATGAAATCACAGTCTAATAGAAGCAGTAAACACTTAGGGAGAAAAAGGGCCTACACCAGTTAAAGAAGCCAAGTTACAAGGCCAAGTATTCATCAGAGAGGTTGCAACATAGGTTAATTGTTTTTGGGTTTAAACACTAACTTTGCTAACAGCATGCCCAGTAGCCAATTTTGACTTACTAATCAATCACAAGAAGTTTACTTATATGGTTAAGCTACTATATAAAGTAATTTTTTAGAATGTATTTTTTAATCAGCCCATCTTTTTCACTTAAAAGTTGCTTGATAGTCTCATCACTGAAATGAGGATCATACCAACCACAGGGTGGTTGAGAGGAGCAAATGGGATCGGGGCCTATGTGGGCACATAGCGTGATAGCATATTATTAATGCTTACATGCCTTCTTGTATTTTAAATCTTGAAAAATGTACTCTGAATTTTATACATTCAAATCTGAGAATTCTAAATAAAGTGAATGTAGAGATTAACTATTTTGTAGTCTTGATAAATTGTGTCAGTTCAAAGGACGCAAATACCTACAGACTTTGAGCACTGAGCAGTACAGATAGTTATTTTTATAGATCTTCCCTAAAGATATTCCATCTCATTATTTTATATTGATACATACTTTGGAAAATTTGTAATTAATAGAGTTAACACATTTGAGAGATTTGACTATGTTGACAATTCAGGCTTTTCATTTCCACCAAAAAGGTTAGGTATAGGAGATTTGATTTATTTTTTAATGTTGTTATAACTTTGTTTATTGCTGCAAAATAATTTACTGGTGATAGGCTGGAAGAGTTAGATATTTTCCAAAAAGCCAGCTTTGTATAATCTCAAAGAGAGAGCAGGACTCCCCTGGTTAGCTTCATTCTAAGCTGTGCTAAGAGGACTCGGTGAAGCTGAGGGCAACCTAAAAACAGCTCTGACCCTGTGTTTATCAGAGAGGCTGCAACATAAGTTAGCTATTTTTAGGTAGGTCAGAAAGACCTGAAAGATGTTCTCCTTCTACAAATAGTACCTTACCTGTCTTGACCATGCTTTTGTTAGTAAACTTCTGTTTCCTTTTGCCTCTTAGGAGCATATTATACACTCTTGGCATTCAGGACAATGTGTTTAGACTGAAGGTTGAGGGGACAGGGTGCCAAGAGGGCCACTTGACCATTCCTGCCAAATTTTCAGTGAGGAGTATGTTAAAAGAATCCAGTGAAGGAAAGATTTGGGAGAGGCTGCCCAATTAAGGTTACAGAATGGTAAATTTTACATTCCTTTCATATTATTTAGAATTTCTTTTTAAAAAGAGATGGGGTCTTGGTATGTTGCCCAGGCTTGTGTCAAACCGGCCTCAAACAATCCTGTCTTGGCCTCCCAAAGTGCTGGGATTACAGGTGTGAGCCACTGTGCCCTGCCTAGATTTTTTTTTTTTTTTTTGAAACGGAGTTTCACTCTAGTTACCCAGGCTGGAGTGAGTGCAATGGCGCAATCTCAGCTCACCGCAACCTCCGCCTCCTGGGTTCAGGCAATTCTCCTGCCTCAGCCTCCTGAGTAGCTGGGATTACAGGCATGCACCACCACGCCCAGCTGATTTTTTTGTATTTTTAGTAGAGATGGGGTTTCACCATGTTGACCAGGATTGTCTTGATCTCTTGACCTTGTGATCCACCCGCCTTGGCCTCCCCAAGTGCTGGGATTACAGGCTTGAGCCACCGTTCCCGGCCCCTGCCTAGATTTTTAATTTAGTTCCAGTGATCTCTGAGGATGTGAAATGCTGTACCATCAGAAATTAGTTGTTAGATTTAGGAGGGACCCCCTCAGTGGTTTAGCCTATCCCCTTCTTTTCAGTCAGAAATCATGGAAATAAGTTATTTGGTAAATTTTTGTTTGTTTGCCTTTTTGTTTTTTTTTTCCTGTTTTTTGTTTTTTGTTTTTTTCTTTGAGGCGGAGTTTTGCTCTTGTTGCCAAGACTGGAGTGCAATGGCATGATCTCAGCTGGCTGCAACCTCCTCCCAGGTTCAAGCAATTCTCCTCCCTCAGCCTTGGAAGTAGCTAGGATTACAGGCACCCACCACCATGCCCAGCTAGTTTTTTTATATTTTTAATAGAGACAGGGTTTCACCATGTTGGCCAGGCTGGTCTCGAACTCCTGACCTCAGGTGATCTGCCTGCCTCGGCCTCCCAGATTGCTGGGATTACAGACCTGAGCCACCATGCCCAGGCTCAAGTTCTTACTGCTGGTAAATGGCAGAGGTGAGACTAACTGGGTCCAACCTTTTTTGTTTTTTTGTTTTTTTCTTAGAAAATACCATCATGCCTTGCTATCAAACTACCTTAGCTTTTTGAGTTGGCGTTATACCATAAGCAGTCCATACTTATGTAATTAACTTCCTTGTGGATAAGATACTGCTTCTCCAATATGTCTCCAAATTAGGGTACAGATTTCTTCTACTATAACAAAGACCAAAATATAATGTATACAAGATAGAAGTTTTTTGTTAACAGAGCATAAGCATGCTGGAGCTGGTAGGCTGACTCCTCTCTCAACTTCTCTTTTGGTTGCTCTGCTCTCCTCAGGAACCTGTGGATTCCCTCTCATAGCCCAAGACAGCTGCTTTAGTTCTTGCCAGCATACCTGTATCCAAACCATCTAAGGAATAAACAGCCAGCACTGTATGTAGCTCATGCCTGTAATCCCAGCTACTCCAGAGACAGGAGGATCACAAGGCCAAGAGTTCAAGACCAGCCTGAGCAACATGGCAAAACCCTGGCTCAAAAAAAAAAAAAAAAAGAAAGAAAGAAAAAGAAACAGAGGGACCAAAAAAAAAAAAAACAAGAGAGAGAGAGACAGGGACAAGGGGAGACTGTGACCACTTCTTTTAAGAGCATGATCTGGAAGAGGCACACTACTTTTGCTCTCGTCCAGAACTTAGTTACATGGTCTGAGCTAGCTGCAAAACAGAATTGAATATGTCATCTTTAGGTGTATGGCTATGTGCATACACAAACTCCAGCCACCCTGTTAGGAAGGGGAGGGTGAATACTGGAGGACAGTCAGGAGTCTGCCACAAGACCCAAGAAATAAGTAATAACCCTATGGCCTACTGACAAGGTATTTAAAGCAAGGACCTGGTATCTTTTCCATCATACTCCTAAAAATCCAGAGTCATCACAGCCTTCAAGTTTCCTACTTATTAATCCTGCCTACCCCATCTGAAGTCACACCCCTGTGCTACTCTGCTGTCTTATAAATGTTCTTTCTTGATAGCCTTTGTCACTGTTTACCATTATATATTTTGTCTTCTCCATTAAAATGTAAGTTCTCTGAAGGCACAGACTTCGTTGTGTTGATTGCTTCCATCCCAGAACCTAGAAAAATGCTGAGCACATAGTAAGCACTCAGTAACTAGCATGAAAGAGTGAATGCTGCTTCTCCCAACACCAAGAGTGATTTGAGCATATTCCATTATTCATTTAATCCTTATTTACCTGCACTGTAAGCAAAGCACTATACTACATAGTTTGAGGAATGGAAAGTATGGCCTGCATGATTCCACTCAAGAAAATCTACCGACTGCTAGAAAGTGGATCACAAATACACAAAACAAATTTTGAAGTGCAATAAGTGACACAGATTGAAAACACTATTGGAATTGAGAGGGATTGGGATCTACCTGGCATCTGGAAGGCTTCCTGAAGTTACAGAATTTCGGTACTCACAGTGAAAGAGGGAAGCAGCATGCAGGCAGGCTGTCATAGGATGCTTTATAGGAAGTAGAAAGGTTAAAAATTACACAGCCAACTGATCAAAGACAATTTGGTCATGCGCAACTCAGGGTTTT